TTGGTTTGTCTGTTGCGGGCTACTGTAGACTCCGTGAAGAGGACCCGTTCCCTATGAAGGGCTCTTTCTAAGCGAAAACATGATTCCTCGTTTCAGGGGATTAATAAAAACATAACTATGAATATTAGATTAGATTTCTGATAATAGACCCCCCTGGAATGCTACACACGGGCCCTTTAATAAACATTCATTTAGACATGGGCACAGTATTAACAAACTACATTCACCATTGCAGATTTGGTCAATATGGAGATCAGAGGAGCTTTGAGAAGTTGCAGGCTCTATTCTTGTGTTGAGCACGGCGAATAGCGCAGCCCTCGTCCCTTGACGTGGAGATTCCAATCCAGTGGCGTATCGCAGTCTTGGTGCCAAGAATGAGTGTGTCTGGCAGGGTGAGTGTGCTCGGAGCAGGTCGGCGGCTCTGTGCACCAGTGGTCTGTGATACTTTGGTGAAGACACTCCCATACAAACCTCTTCACACAAAGGCCTACTCTAGTTTTGTTGTATTCTAATAAAACAGTTGTAAAATTTCTTATAAAACAGTTGTATTCTGATGATAACATTAATGCCACAGAATGAATATGAATGAGCATCCTGTTCTGCTGGCCTTTCCTTTACTCTGGTGACTCTCTTTACAGCCATCTGCAGGCAGCAGGTATCTGTTCCATCTGCAGCCTCTAATTGGAGTGATGTTACACGCTGTCAAGCCACAATTACACAAGACAGATCAACAAGCACCAATGTGGTGAAATAACCACAGAAACGTCTGTGCTTACATGCGCATCACACTTGTCGGTCATGATTCATTATCCTACATGCTTTTTAATGCATTTTAAATCAACAGGCATGTTGACACATTAAACACTGTTCATGACACTACAGTGAGATGTGAGGCTGTGAGCAGCAACATGATGTTATGGAGATTGCTGGGTTTGGTTTTTTACACATCTACTTGGATCGTTACCAGGATCATGTTTATGGTGACGGTCACAATAAGTCTCCCATAAAGAGTCACTCTGTCATGACGGGGAGAGCCCTGTGCTTAAAGGGGGTGACTGTGAACTTCATCCACACAACTAGAGCCCTGAGCGCCCATCCTGGTGGACATCAGGTCTGAAGTGACAAAAAATGTGGCTGATGACGTCAATAGATGGCTTATTAAGCTGGCACAGTGATTTCAATCGTAAACGTTGTTTTAAGAGTACGCAGTACTACTTCTGAGATTCCTCCAGATGAAGTCAGTCCATCTGTGAACCCACATAAGTGTTGTGATGTGTGTTAAGTGAGATGTTTGACCTGATTAGAAAGTCTTCCTGTAACATTTTGGGCTCGGATGAGCTGTTAAATAAAACACTGGGGTGGTGGGCCGGCTTCTGGGACTCAAGCCCTGAATGTTTCCTCAAAAGCCCCGATTCTCTTCAGTCTTTACAATACTTTGTGTCATTTCCCCTCAGTCTGTCTGACTGGAACAGCAAATGAAAGGAGCAAAGGTTCCATCACTGGGGAAATATTGCCATCAGTGTGCACAATAACATTGTCTTAGTATTCTATTCCCTAGAGAAATCTAATACAACTAAGTAAATGTTCTTCTGTTCGTCTAATATTCAACTCTGAGTATTGGACAGCACATTATTAGTTAAAGGGGTTTTCCTGTTCTGATGTGAGGGTCCTGGGACAGAGGATGTCGTATGTGTACAGATTGTAAAGCCCTCTGAGGCAAATTTGTAATTTGTGATCTTGGGCTATACAGAAATAAATTGAACTGAATTCTCTAAGCATTGTTTGGGCTCCTCGATTTGCAATTAGAGCAGCCCAGATTATTATGGCATGGATTGAAATGTAGCAGATTTGTCAGCAAAACATTCATTCTGTGAACTGTAATCCAGCATAGTGTAACAAAAAGAGGTTTCAAGATTAGTGATGTTGTTTATTCCTACTCTGTCTATGTATTATTTTTATGTAACTTAGTAATAATATCAGACAATGGTTGCCTCTGTTTTGGTGTGTGTGTTGTGTTCTGCTTTCAGAATGAAGAACACAGTTGGAGAACAAATAGCATGTATAGCTGCTGTAAATGGGACCCCCCGGACCCTCCCAGGTTTGGGCCGAGCCCCCAATGTTAACCACGTCTTGCTCCGCCCCTGCTCAGTGTGTGGATTGGTTTCTGCCATATAGTCTTTGAATTCACAATGTTGCACTGGATTACTGATCTGTATGAATGAAATAGCACAAATCATGTCCGGTTTCTCCAAAAGCTAAAGCCCTTGCTTCTCGTTGATTGCTGTTTCCATCTTCAGAGTCAGACAGAACGAGACTGGGCTATTACCAGAGTCCCAGCTCTCTGAGTGCTGCTGTCCTCCTTTTATATTCTGACTAAATGAATAGGCGCTTGAATTAAGTAATCTCCATTAACTCTCAGCAGAGTTATAAGAAGGGTCAATACTCTTTGGCCCGGCTATTCTTTAGATTTGGACGGCTCCCTTCTGACCCATTATCGAAGGTGATTCCCCAGATTTTTTTTTTGTGGAAGGATGACTCTGGAACTTAGCTCTGCCACTTCTCTTCCTGCCAAAAGACAAAATTGGCCTGCGGGGGAGAGGAAAAGTTGTCATTAAAATTACGTATCCCTTGACCCCACTTGAAGGTCGTATACTGGCAGCAATTACTGAGTGTGACTTTAAGGAGAGGCTCTGCTGGTCGTTAGTGTAGACAGTCCCCCGGCTTATCCCCCTGGGGCAAAAGAGAGTGTGTGTGTGTGTGTGTGTGTGTGTGTGTGTGTGTGTGTGTGTGTGTGTGTGTGTGTGTGTGTGTGAGAGTGAGGGGCTGGAGGACCAGAGTGCAGTATCCAATCCTTAAGCTCCTGGTTGGCCTGTGAGGGCTCCACTATAGGAGGAGAATGGCAGCAGAGAGGTGCTGGAGTGTCCTCTAGTAAATGTCAAAACCCTCGATGAGAAGACTCTCTGAAGGACAGACATCTGAAACGTTACTGATGGGACAAAGCGCTCACATCTGGTGATCATGACAGCATGATATCAACACTATACAGCCATAACTCCTTTCAGCTGTTAGTAACACCTGCTGTCTGTGAGCTGTTTCTCCAGAAAATCCTCTGAGTCATTTCTCTCATATGTTTTACATGGGGGGGGGGGGATGATTTTTAGAAGAAAAAGAAAGGTGGGTAGAAAAGAGAAACAGCCAACGAAGTAGACAAATACTTAAAGTTCATCAACAGGAAAAAAAACTTTATGTCAAACTGAACGCTTGAAAGTTTAACTGACAAACAAAACAGCACACACACACACACACACACACACACACACACACTGTATTGATTTGCATTGTCATCTCTCTGTTGATGTGAAAATCAATGGTGGAAGTAACTCAACTATTCACTCAAGTAGTTTCATTTACAGGTATTTTCTACACTACTACCCTTCTACATAAAAGGACATGTTGTACTTTGTACTCTACATTTATCTGACTAGTTTCTCTGTTGTTGTGTTGCCTCTAAATATTTTTAGGATTTTTTACGACGTATCCTCATACGGTTCATATACCTTACAAAGAGTTATGAGTTGTTGTTCTTCTGTGTGTTTTCACCACCACAGAGTTACTCTTAAATACTTGATGACACCCCATCACAAATATTATTCTATATGTCACCGTAAAAATTTTGTTCTTCTTTATTACATGCAAAAATATGACATTACCATTTCCCCAAGTGCTTTCTGTTGTAGCACTCTGGCTAATTAGATGGGTGATAGGAGTGGCACTGATTGACATTATAAAAGCTGCACTATTACCCCCCCCCCGCCCCCCCCTCTCTCTTTCTCTCTCTGTTCAAAGTTGCCATCAGAGGAATTATTTAAGAGAAAGAAGATTCTCCCCTGACAGATACTATCATTACAACCCTTTATGGAAAGTGCTAACTTACCTTTTTCTCCTCCCTTTCCTCTCGTTTTCTCTCTCCATCCGTGCCTCTCACTCCCCCAACGGGTGAAAAAAAAGCAAGGAGAGAGGAAGGAGGAATAGAAAAGTGAGTGAGCTCTGTCAGCTGGAGTGAGTGCACTGCTAAGTCTGGCTACACTACAAAGGTTAGCAGATCTGACTGTCAATAGTGTCTTGTGGGTGGGAGGGGGGTGGAGGGAGGAGACGTGGGGTGAGGTGCTGGTGGGGGTGGTTGGGGGGGCGATCGCTTTGAGAGAAAGAGATACTTTGATATTTCGGAATGTTAGAAGGGTGAACGTGGAGAACTGGAGGTTGGGGATCTAATTACCAGGCCATAATTGGGGGCTGGGGAATAGGTTGCCGTCCTCTCAACTCGCTGCAGATCAATTATGTTAAGAGAACATCTGTAAGTAGAGCTTAATGAGGTCCATTAGAGCAACATGCGCTGCCTTCCCTAACGGTGCTTGTCAGCTTCTTGGATGAGCTGGAGTGTGCTGCTGACTGGGGACCTGGTGGAGGGGCTTAAATAGGAGAGGAGGCTCCACTCTCCGCCGCTTCTTTCTTCTTCCCTGCCAGAGAAACTAGAGAGACGCACAGACGAGACAGGGGTGAGGAAGCAGCAAAAGAGGGGGGAGAGAAAGTGAGAGAGAGAGAGAGAGAGAGAGAGACGACCTGTGAGCCGGGGTCCGGGACGCGCAGACAGCCGCTGGTGTGGGGAGCCGAGTTTTAGGCTGATTTGACAACCTGAGATCCTGTCGCCAAGTTTTCTTTAAGACAACCCGGAGTTGCACGAGCTCCGAGGGAAAAAAGTTGCCTCGTGGACACTTTGATTCAAAGTGAAGAGGACGGAGAAGACGAGCCCCGCTGCAGCGACCCCCTGACTCTTTTGTTTTGGGCATCTCTGGCTGGACTTGTAAAGGTACGTGTTCGGTCCCGTTGTGTGTTTCTGGGCTTTTAACGCGTAAAGTGTCGTCAAGACATAAACACCACCAGCGCACAGCGTCTTCATCACCTAGTGCCCCCCCCCCCCCCTCTCCATCCGCTGTTCATCACACGGCGCGCTGGTTAAACGAAGCAGCCGCCGTCGGTTTTTTGTGGCGCAGATCCCTGCTGTCATTTTATTTCTTCATTTAGAGACGCGTGCAGAAGGTTGAGGTCAGGTACAAACATGACGAGCTTCTCCTCCGCTTTCTGTCCGTGTGCGCGCACACGTTTGATGGTTATAAACAGGTGCGCGTGTCCTTTGGAGGACTGGATCCGCGCGCCGCGATCTCCCTCCATCCTCCACCGCAGCCGTGTCTCTCTTCCATTCACACGGGAAGATGAATAACCGATCGGAAGGGCACCGGGAGAGAGGTGGCAGCCCCCCCCCAAACACACACGCGCGCTGCAGAAAATTGCATGATTACCGAGATAGGCCGCCTTGAAATAATTCAATCCATGACAAAACCTAATTACTGGCAGGTAATACCCTGTCAGCTTTAATGCATCTCATCACTCATAATGGCGCAGAGAGCATTTTATGACCCATCTCATTATCGCTGCGTTTTAGGCTCGAGCCGCATGCCAACTATTGACTTGTATCTCCTCCTCCACAGCCTCCCTCCCTCCCTCCCTCCTTCTCCCTACCAGAATATTCAAGGGACTAACTTCCACTTGTCTAGGCCGCGTGTTGGAACACTGAATGGTGCGTATATATGCAACAGGTGTGTGTGTGTGTGTGTGTGTGTGTGTGCGCGTGCCCGTGGGCCTTGCTGTGGTCCCAAAGTATGCAATAACAAGGCACAAAGAATAATCCCGTCCTCTTATTACCGGAAACATTGACATAACGGCTGTGGAGCAGAGAGGCGATCATCGTCGGTGGAGCCCGGGACCTCACATGACGCCCGGGAACGCTGGAGGAAGAGGAATCAGTGACCTTGATTGATCTAATTGTCGTGTTGTATCTGCGCTCTACTTTTCCTTTTTCTCCCACTCATTGATAACAGAAACACACGAGTGACTGACTCATACGCACTCATTGTTTTAATGATAAACTCATAGTCCTATTCGAGTCAAGTCTAACACAATGTGCCTGTGTGCGCGTGACTGTACCTCCGTTTAACTCGGTCTGGACTTGACGCTGTTGTTAACACTGAACAACCACGTCAGCAGGTGTCAGAAGGTGCGTGTTTTATGTCTCCTCGTGAGGTGCCCCTGAACGCAGCATGTCCACCTTAAATTCAAGACTAAACTTGTCCTGACGTTCAGACCGCTCTGCGCGCGCCTTGAGACAAACTGTGTTCCTGTCTAATATAATGAGCGCCGCGCGCACCCGCGACTCCAAGATTAAAGGACGTTGAGGGGGGCGGAAATGGGCGTTCCAGGGACGCGCACGCGATGCATGCCTCCGTCATATAGTGGAGCGGCTTGTAATAAGTGAATGACCTTATCGTGGCGGTGTAATGTTTCTCCGGAGAGGGATTGGGTTTTTTTGGAGGTAATAAAGCTCGGCTCCCCCCCACGTCTCTTGCCACTCTCGCTGATGCATCGGGGACACCGGCCGGCCTGAGCCCCACGCGCACTCCTGCCGCACGCTCACACCGCTTGAACACTTGTAGCCGTCTCCCACAAACCGGTTCGCTCTGACCCACGTGGAGCTCATTCCATACTGAAGAGCGGCGCGGCGCGCGATGTCAGTTTGGTGAACTTTTTGCTGCTGTTGTTGTTTTTGTCCCGTTCAGAGGAGCATCTGTAGCTGGAGTTCATTCTCACTTCTGCTTCACTTGTTGACAAAGGTGAGTGCGCTGGAGAAGCTTCCTCTGCTGTAAACGTCCTCCGTCACCAGAACGAAGCTGGGAGGGTGTCACAGATAAACAGATAGACCGGCTATGTGAGTGAATACAGGGGAGTCGTGGAAGAGCAGGTTTAATGCTTGGGAAGGGGGGGGGTGAACCGTTCCATCGGTGCACGGTGCCCCGGTGGCGGGGCTACGTCAAAAGCGCTGATTAGCGGAGCAGCGTGCAGCAGCAGCCGCTGCGTGTAGCGGGGTTAAAAGGTGTGAGCTCCGCGGAGGGGGAGAAGCGTCTCTCCCTTTTTGTCGTTCTGTCATTCGCTGTCTGCGTCTCTCCGCGCGGCGATGTAAAAAAACGTTCTCTCACGCGCCGTGTGACGACCCGACGGCAGCGAACAAGCTCCTCGAGCTCCTCATCACATCCGCCTGCGTTTTGTTGCCCCCCGCCCCCCTTCACCCTCCCCTCCCCTCCGCCTTCTTTTCCTCACTGCTCGCTGGTCGCCGTGCTGGATTGTTCCCTCTAACAAAGCGCCCGATCCCAGCCTGCCTGCAGACAGCTGCTCTCCGGGACCAGGCGGCTTTGCGGGTGTTGCGTGGTGAGGCGCCTCAGCGGGTTCAACAAATGCAGAAAAGGGAGAAAAGTTTCGGTAAGAACGCTTACTTTGCGCTTCGGTTTGTGTGTGAAAAATGGCACGTTTCGCGCGTGTGCGAAACGTGTGTGTGTGTGTGTGTGTGTTTAGCGTGCTCTGCGACGTTGCAAGTTGCAGCATCTCTCTCCGTCGTAGAGGGCGACGCGTCCAGATCCGACCTGCTGCTGCTGTGAAGCCGGTCGACTCTCCGCGTTATTCCGCTGATAACCTTTTCATCGGGACATCACGGGGACGTGCTCTGATGTCGTGTCGGTTGAGAGGCTGCTTGTCAAAGCCGCATGGCAAATTGAGTCTCTGTGTTCAATCCCTTATTGGCCTTTTACCAGCGCTCCGCTGCCATGGCAACAGTAATTAAACTGATAGGGTGAAATGTCAGCATCTCTCTGCCGCCGAACAGCTGGGACTGAAATAGCAGCTCCGCTCCGTGCCCCTCGCCATCATCCTCCATCCGGCTCGGATGGTGATACATGTGGCCGAGGACGCGCGGCGGCAGCAGCATCAGCAGCCTTGAAGTCCACAATGAGAGAGGGAGGGAGGGAGGATACAAGCCGGAGCACAAACAAAACAGATATGATTAGGGCTCCGAGCAGCTGTGATTCCCTTCATGGAGAAAACGAGGCTTTTGTTCACCACTTCCCCTCGGCAGTCGGAAGAGCGAAGTGGTCAAATTCCTGCCATGCTTCTTCTTCTTCTTCTTCTTCTTCTTCTTCTTCTATTGTCCCCCCGTCTCCCCGGGTTGATTGCATAGTAAAAAAGGGGGGAGTCTAAACTCTTCCCGCTTTTGGTTTGGTAATGAGCAGCGGGACTTTGTCGTGTTAACGAGGCCCGGACGGATCAGTGCCGCTGAACGGACGCAGCCGGCCGAGCAGCCGCGCTACAAAATCCAGCCAATTAACAGATGAACAGCGCCAACGCAGGGAGCAGTGCGACCCGTTCCATAGGCTCCGCAGATGATTTATCACCAAACATATAGACTGTGTGGCACGTGACAACAAGTGATCTTCATGTGTACTGATAGATTATTTAATTTCAGCACTGTGCCAGTGTTTTGCATGCTTGAAGCCTGTTTAACGCGACTCAGTTAGTTTGAAAACATTTGTTTTTTTCCTACTTCCAGGAGTACGAGTGTATTTATTTACAACATTGGAATAGAAGTAGAAAGTTGCTTGAGGACGATGAGCATCAGGTTCCACATAGTGTAATGTTGTCAATGCAGACTGTTCAGAACACACAGCACTGACAGCTGACAGGATTTGTACAACTTTACTGCACGTTAACTACAATCAATGGAAACCACTGGTTTCTAGGAAGAAAGACAAAAATACATCCCAAAAAAAGTAAAACACCACAGCATCCTTTACCTTTACCAGCGGTCAGGCTTTGATTGACACTAAAAAGTGTTTGTACTAATGACACAGCGAGAACTTCTTTGAGCTAAAATAGTGAAATAGAAAGTCCAGTATTTAAAATGACTAAATCTAAGAGACACCGAGCGTGTGTGCGTGTGTGTGTGTGTGTGTGTTGAATGGGGCACAAAGGGGAGTGGGGGTGTGCCTCTCCTCGGGGAATGGCAGGAGAATACTAATTCCAGCCTGGTGCGAAGCGGGATAATGGGGCTCGCCCCCCCAATGGGCCAACAAAGGCTCTCCACGGTCAGCTCAGGCCAAACAATACAGGCTGCTGTAAAGCTCTCGCCTGTAGCCACGCCCCTTTAAACACAGAGGAGGTCAATGTAAAAAAACGTGTCCTGGCAGAAATGTGAAACTGTGGCTTTGTGTCTGTGTGGGCCTCGTGTGGGTCTCACTGCACTTCCACAGGGCAGCTGCTGGTGCTGGTCTGTCTCTTCTTCTGGCTGTTGTTTTACAGCGACTATGACACTGACTGATAAACCACATTTTTCTAAAGTGTTGCTTTAATGCCTCTTTAAATTAGGATTCATTTGATTTATTCTATTAGCGTTATCTTCCATAACAACACTATGGACGTGAGTTACAATGAAATGACCTCCTCACCTGTTTTTACCAGATCAGATCTCAAAGTATTCTCCATGTAAAGTGCAATGTGTGTGCGTGTGTGTGTGTGTGTGTGTGTGCGTGTGCGCTCACAGACCAAAGACTACATCCTCTTTGAGTAATGTGCTAATCAGTTAACGTTTCCATGACAATTAAAGTCCAGTGCTCCTCATTTCAAAGGGTTTGTATTGAAGGTAGCGCTGGTGTGAGAGATGTCCTGCTAGGGCTCAGAGATGTGGAGAACATCAAATATCTACATGATTCTGACCAACTGCCTCCATATTGCGGTGATATTGTAGGGTTGACTGTTGGTGCTTTTACAAAATGTACACAATGAAACTTTGAATAAATACTGATCAGTAATGTGGATATAAAATAATAAAACAGCTGGTAACTTACTGTAATGCAGCCTTTAAAACCAGGAAGAGACGGCACTTCTGACACATTAAGATACACAGTATGTATACTGTATAGTCTCATATCAGGGTATCCGTACAGTCATATTACGTCTAGTATGCATACTGCATACATTTTTGGACTGCACATAATTGAAGCTTTTTTTTCCCTTTAGTACGCTGGACTTTATTTTTAGTACACTTAGTGTGAACACTATTTGCTCACAATCAGTGTGTAGTTCTTAATTAAGACACAGCTAAACTGAGACTTCACTGCCAGTAAACTTGCCTGAGAAGAAGTAGTTCTGTTCCTCACAGCTCGTTGTACAGTTCGCAGAGGAATATCTGCAAAGTCTACCAACTTTTTCAGTGTACTTTATTTTGTCCCTCAAACCCCTCTGAGAACTGTGTTGTCCAGATGCTGCTCTTTCATATAACATGGCTCCAGACCCACTGTTTAAGAATTGAATCAGTGTTTTTGTTACATTTGAACATGTGCATTGCCGACATGCAGTGTATGAGACCTCATGTGCTGTGTTGCAGTCCAGGTTAAAGTCTCTGTTTTTTGACAATTAGGAAAGCAAAAGATATCGTCTACGAATGCTCGTTTTAACTTGTGTCTTATTTAAATAGTTAAATACGTGAATATTGTTCTGACTTTATACTGCTGCTTAAAGATCGAGGAGCACAATGAGAGCATGTGAAAAACTGTTTTGTTCCCATTATCCATCCATCACTTCACTTATCAACTACAACCTTTTAAAAAGACCTCATGCATGTTAAACAGTATTGTTAAAGCCTCACACTCCTTTCTTTGTCATTGGAGCTTCGCCCTGTCTTCTTTTTGGAAACGTTCTCCTCGTCCGTCAGTGCGCTGGTGTTGGACGAGCGTCTGAAGCCTCTCTCCGTCTCTCTCTCTCTCTCTCTTTCTCTGTGTGCTTCTCACAGGTATACAAATGCTCTCCGTCCAGCCGGACACCAAGCCAAAAGGCTGTGCCGGCTGCAACCGGAAGATCAAGGACCGCTACCTGCTGAAGGCCCTCGATAAGTACTGGCACGAGGACTGCCTCAAGTGTGCCTGCTGTGACTGCAGGCTGGGCGAGGTGGGCTCCACGCTCTACACCAAAGCCAACCTCATCCTGTGCCGGAGAGACTACCTACGGTAAGAAAGACGCCGTCTGGGCCACGTTGGACAAAACGCCGCGTGCCATACAGATAACGCACACATGTGGTCACAACATTTAGAGTTCAGGTTGAGCTCTCTTTTATTTTGTGGATTGGAATAAAGCCCGTTTCTATTCACAGGAAGGCTTTGGGCTGTGACCTGTGGCCTTGTTTTAAAGTGTCAATCCTTAGGACTTGAGCCCAGGTTGATTTAGTGGAAACAGTGGAAGTGTGCAGAGTTCAGCAGTCTGGGGTCTTTTTGTTGATGCATGAGCTCCACGTGTTCAGACAGTAGTTTTTGTGTGTATACAATCGAGGAAAACAGTTTGTAATGCTGCAAATACATATTGGAATACGTTCAGTGGGATTGATCACATCCGTCAGTGATAGTGACTTAACAGACATTTATTGAGATGAAAATCTTCCAGATTGCCATTTTAAGGCTTCAAAATTTGTCACAACCCAGCTATTAGACCGTTGCAAATGTATGCAAATTATGGTATGGCATTCAGAGTATTTAATCAGATACATTTTTGTTCCTTGTGTTTTATTTTTACTGTAATATTTGTATTATTAATATCATTATTTTTGGTTTATTCAGAAAACACTAATATAACATTTCTATAATTTACTCGCCTGTTAAAGTCTGAAATTGGTTTTAAAATATGGTGTGTCAGCGTTATTTCAGGAAAAGCAGGGCTGTTTGAACATGAAGAAATATTTGGTGTCACTAATTGCCATACAGAATTTTTTTTAGTTTTTTTTTAGGTTATAGGTTATATAGGTTAGGTTGTCTTTAAAAAAAATACAACTTTGAAATATGGCAGCTTGTGAGTGAAACCGACAAAGCCTATGAGCATGACGAGAAATAAATATCCATGTTAACTCTAATGTAGACTCTCTGACATTAGGGGTCAAGAGGTTACATCAAGAATGTCAGTTATTCTCAAAAGCATCACAATTAATAAATAAGTCCGTTAACAAAAGTGACAACAAACCCGTTACAGTCTCATCCACGTGTCAGAGGAGACTGGGACATAAATGCAACGAGTCGTTACAACCAATCAAGATAAGGATCCGCACTATGGATCTCTGGATTGACAGAGCGATGCACCAATCGGATCAAGCGTAAGCCTAACCTATGGAACAGCAGCATGTCATTGTGACTGATAGGATTAACTCCTACGTTTCCTTCTGTTTTTATCTGAATTGAATTTATTTGCTGGAATAGAGTTCACTCACCTGTTTATTCTTTGGAAAAGATTGTTTTTACTTCCAAGAAATAGAAGTTCAGCTCTTTCTATTTGCAGTGCAGCGTGTTTTGTTGTTTTTTGCATCTTTAAGAAACTCTTTAGTAATAAATGCGAGTATACTATATGGTCAACTATATGAGCCTTTTAAAAACAATTTAAATCCTTATGTCCAATATGAATCAACCTCATTTCCCAAAAGTGATCAAAGGGATCATCTCTCCTCATTGACTGTCAATTTGAACACAAATCAGTATTTCTTTTTGCATTGCTGGTCAAGAAGGAGATTTCTTTCCTGTCCTTGAGCACAGCATCATTTCTCAGTGTTGTGGTCGCACTGAGACCTGGTGGGAGACAAACAGCCGCTGGCTTTACAGTAGTTTACATAAGAATGTGTAGTTTATGGAGGCCTGGCACATGTAAAGCTTTCTGCAGAGACTGACACTGATTTCTGTTTGACCTCACTTCAGCTGGACAAAGGTTCCAGACATTCGGAACTGGATTTCTGAGAGGCTTCTGTGCTGATGTTTAATGTGACATACTGTATATATGTATAAATGGTACTTCATATAATAACATTGTGACAGACATCTCTTTATTAAAAACACAAATGGATGACAGTAGAGATGTTCCAACATGGATTCCAATGTGACAGCACTGCGTTAAAATGTAATTTATTTATCGAGTAGTTTCAACCATCCCAAAGCCTTTGACGCTGTTACTGTCACCTAAAACATTTGCATCAAAAACAGCCAACGTTAACTAGCCGTCCTGCTAATTTCAACACAGATTTGTTGTTGACATTATCGTAGCATTATCATAGAAATAATTAGGGTGCACAAGAGTGTTACAGCACAGGTGTGTAGTATTAGTTTGCACATGTGCAGTAGCTATCAGGCAGCGAGGACATGTGTTTCTGTTGTTTCTGTGTAGTAGACACTTCATAATATTGTATGGTATTGTAGCTGACACAAATCATTTTAGAATCGAATCAATACAAAACAAATCAATTATTAATACATGGTTTATAGACTCAATAAGTCATATTCTTAGAAAAAAATGAATGTAGAGGACGCTTATACCTAATGTAAAAAAAAATCTGCTGTCAAGCTAATGTATGTCGGACGATGTGTGTGTGTGTGTGTGTTGGTTGCAGGCCTTGGCACACTGCTATGTGCTGCACACTCGCATGCTTTGAGGAGAAGCTGCTGTGCCAGAGAATACATCCAAAAGGTTTGGAGCCTCACTGCTGGATTATCCACCCACAGTCAGGCTCACACTCACACCGGCTCAATGTGCAACCTGGTGCTGGTGGAACATTTGAGACCCTTTTTTATCATAAAGTATGTTTCCGTCTATGCACCTTTCACATGTGACCAAAATGAGTGAGCCTAATGCAGAAACAGCTGCAGCTCAGGTAGCTCTTAAACGTGTCAGCGTTTCTCTCACCATCCATTCCTTGGAAGGTGGGTCAATGCCGCGCTCGCCCTGTCCACATATTGAGAAAAACATCGAACTGCATCTTGCACCCACTTTGTGTGACTGAGGGGTAAAATGTGGAATAAAGTGTCAATCAACACATTAGGTCAGAGGTCGGGGTCTCTAAGCCAAACCCCTATGTTTGAAGTGTTGTTGAATAGTTAGTTAAGATGATCACACTTTCTTTAGATAGCAATCCGAGTCTTAAAATACTGCGTATCTATTGTGTTTAGTCGTCATTTCCCACAAGCCAAACACCACGGTGCTTACTCTAAATGTCTTTACTGGACTTGTTGGCTTGTACAGAAGCTTCCGTCAGCACCACAGCTGGTGGTCAGTCTGATGCAACACAATAAGACAGAGAAGCAGGTGTTTCATGTTTTGTTTGCAGTGTTGATTTGAAATTCTACTGATGCAAAACTCCTGCTCTCTTTGTGTCCTACAGACCAATACACAGACCACGTATTTATCTCCACCCAGTGACAACGCTCACCTTAAAACAACTGTTGCACTGGGTGACACTTTCATTCATGACCATGAAAACGCTGTAGTTCATTTTGACTTAATAATACTTACACCGTCCTGCTGCTTTAATGTATTAATCGGCCACGTAAAATAGTATCCAGCTAACGCACCATTTACTCCTGATTGAGTAATGTTTGCTAAATTGTTTTTAAAATAACGTAATGCAACAAGGTGACGCAACAACGTAATACAACAGGTACAAATAAAAGTAACCTGAACGTAACAATGTAACGTAACAATGTAATGTAACAACGTAACGCAACAACGTAACGCAACAACGTAACGCAACAACGTAACGCAACAACGTAACGCAACAAGGTGACGCAACAACGT